ACTCTAAAAATGATTGGCCAATTTTGATAACATAATCATTGGACATAAGCTTTATGTCCAGTATTATAACGTCCAATAGAATGGAATTGATCCAGTGGATCAATTCCAGTGGAACGTTCCAGTCTATGTGCCAACACTGAGTTTAATATATATTTTATTAATTTTATTAAAAGAACTTTTAAGTTTATTAAGAAGTTTTTAAATAATTAAATTTTAAAATTGATTTAAAAAATTTATTATAAAAATTTTTTAAATATTTCTTTAAAATTTATATATATATAAATTAATTAAAGCACTTTACTACTAATAAAACATGACCAATAATAAATAAGTTTATTTATATAACATAAAATTGATAATAAACAAATTCACAAATTTCATTCATTAATCAAGTTATAATATAGAATGATATTACATTTAAAATACTTAAAAATATAAGGTTTTTTACTATGCTTTAGACAATTATAAAAACTATAATAATTAAAATTATTATGATTAATAAATTTTATATTTTATTATGATTAATATTATTAAAAATAAATGTTAATAAGATTACCAAAGATTAATAAGATTAATAATAAATTTTTTTAATTTAAAAAATTTTATAAAAGTAAATCAAAAGGAAATTTATAATAAATAAATAGGTAAATTTGCTTAAAATCTTTATGATATAAGAGATATGCTTTAGAAAATTTAAATATTTTAGATATATTTATTAGTAAAATAAAAAATTATAATTTTTATAATTTATTATATATTTTAAAAGTAAATTAGAATTTCAATACTAAATAATTAATATAATCAGTAAAATGATTAGAATAAGAATATTAATAATAGAAAAAATTAAAATAATATAAAAGATAAAAAGAAATTATAAATTATTTTCACTTAAATCAAATTAGTTAACTTTATTTAATTTAAATTAAATAATTTTTTAATTAAAAAAAATTATTAAAATTTAATTTATTAATTAGATTTAACAATATTATAATTTGATTATATAATTTTTATAAACTTTTTAAATAGCTTCTTATAAAAATAAATCAAAATATAATTTAAAGATCTTAAATTAGTAAAATTATAAATTATAATTTTTTTACCTTTAGTGTGTTACTTTCCTTCGGGTTAGCGAAGTTAATTGATAACTATCTACCCTATTTTCTGTTTTTACCCACTTCAATGATTCCTGGGATTCGATCTGGTTATCAAACACCCACTTGATTTGCCTAAACAAGTTTTTGAAAGGCTTTACTATGTTCTAATAAGTTAAAGCAAGGTCATTAACTGGTAATGGTGAGGACGACAAATAACTTAACCTTCCCTTCACTGTTATTATCAGAGTTAGCTTGATTATTACCCAATTCACAGCAGTTGATACAATCCGATAAATTACATCTTCGTGCAAACCTGCCGTATCACAAGTTCATTTTTTAGGATTATGCTGAACCGATGTTTGCAGTTGGTGCGATATCTTTGATTAGTATCCTATATTCTTTGCCTCGATAACCGCGATGATGGTGTTTCCCATCTTTACTAATCAACAGGTCGTTTGCCATGACTTCCGGAAATTTCATATTTGGGGATAGAATTTCACCTCACCACCAAATATTAATATGATACCATAAATGATGCAGGAAATAAATTCGCAATGAGTGGCTTCGTTGGAGCTAGTGATGTGTTATGCATTCTCAAAAATCCTCTATGACTCTTGACCTTAAGTTGAAAAGTGCCTTCATCTTTATCGAATTTCATGCGATTTTGCTTGTATAGTTACCAGTATCAGGTGAGATCTTTGAAATTTTCCATTTGACTCATATTATAATGATAATATATAAGTGGGTAAGGAAGTACTGTAAGTACATTACTCATTTATGCTGGTATATTCTAATTTCGTTGTAAAAACTTTTTCATTGAAACGCTCAGAAAAAAAAAATAATGAAAAAGTTAGTTTAATGTAATAAGATATTTCACAATGGACCACAAAAAAAAATGGTGGGTGTCACATCAAGCCGGCCATTCAAAAGATGACTCGCTAGTTTTAGCTTCCGACAGTTCACAAGTCCGTCGCAGTCGCCCTCTGTGCTTTACCACCACTTCACAACTTGGTGCGGTACGCAACCTTCACTCCGGGCCGGCCATTCAAAAGATGACTCGCTAGTTTAGCTTCCGACAGTTCACAAGTCCGTCGCAGTCGCCCTTCGTGCTTAACCAAGTTGTGGTTGATAGGGTTCATTAAGCATATTGAAAGCTTACCTTGTTTTTTAAAATTTGATAAGAAAAATGAAGCAGAGCAAAATGCATACTCGCAAGTAGCTGATAGGTTTAATTTCATGTGCATGTTTATAATGCCTTAGGACATCTGGGCCGGCATTAGGCATCCTACGCGTATGACGCGTCTGATACATGAGAGGTTATAGATAAAGTCTCAGGCACGTTACTTTAAAAACTACTTTCTTTCCTGATAATAAAGGTGAAATTCAAAACATGGTTAGAAACCCAGGTGTACGAAAACAACGTGAAGAAGCACAAATAGATTGGATGTTGCAAAGTGAAACTCCTACCCCTCTTTCTTTCTTTCGTTTCGTAGATGCTTCTGAAAGGTCAAGATCCATACAAAAATATTCAAAAATACTAATGAAAGCAATAGGTCGCAAAGGAAATTCAGATAGGCTTAACTCCGTTCTGGATAAATTTAACGTCTGTGAGCTGTATTTATGTTTTATAATATTTACTATTCTCGTTAGCTGAAGTACTTTATTAATTTTATTACATACTAAATATAATTAGAAGGGAGAATACAAAGACGATTGGGAGATTTGGAAGAAAGAGAGAACAAAGGTATGTATGCTACCTTCGTAAAGTGTTCAGAAAATATTTATTTAATTTACTTTCAATATATAAAAACAGAGCGTAACGGTGACAAACATAGTCGAAACGAACTTCGAAGTTCATGATAGATATAATTCTACATTTACTCGAGCACTTGGAAAACGAAATTCGAACTATGTGAACCCGGGTTCGTCTAAAAAAGTGAGATTATCCCAAGGTAAAGACTCGGAAGATAATAAAGACTCGGATGAAGAAGACTCGGATGATGATGAGCTACTACCTATGAAGATCACGGATAGTGTAACGGTTAGAAGGCTTGCCAAAATCGGGAAAGGAATTGCACGATACAATGTAGTATTTCTCCCCGAAACTAACAAAAATGTTATCTTGCGTAGAGAATTTGATGATGAGGAGTGGCAAATTCTTGAAAATGTATTTTACAATAAAGATAACGAAATTAGCTTGGAAGCCCCACCTCAACTTCATAAAGTTGAGACTATTTTGAATGATTATGATGAATCATTGGAGAAAGCTACAGAGGATAACTTTGTTGATCTTGATTCAGTCTTATTGTGCCTAGTTATCAAGGCGATTACAAGTTTCGAAGACACTGGTTGACGAAATGGGTTGATAACATATTTCAAAGATTGTAAGTTCCTACTATTAATTGTCTACTTTTTAACTTATATGATTTTATTAATCCTTTATGTTTGTAGTTTAACGTGTTTTCAATTAACAAAACATGTCTTAAATGATGAAGGGAGCAGTGAATACCAGTATCGAAGCTGGTTTGTGAATTTGCCATGTGAAGACATGTTTCTTGATTTAAACAATACTATCCGATTACCAACGTAAGACTGATAAGATTTATTATATTTTATTTTATTTTTATATATATATATATATGAAATGACTAATCTATACGTTTTTAACAGCGGTGAAATAGAAAATGTTGATCGCAAAAACCAAAAAGTTCTATCTAAGTCCCCTGAAGAACGGAGATCTACGGGTTGGTATCATGATGGGATATTAACAATAAACATAAATGGCATCAATTTTCAAATCGGTTTCCTTGAGGTGGTTGGAAACGCCATAGTTGAAGACCATAAAAAAATGACCACCGACCTTCAAAAAATTTTAAAAGGTAAGAAATTAAAGTTCAAACATTTCAAACATATTATATACACAAGAATTTAGAGCTCACGATACACAATTTTTTGAAAAAGCGATGCGGTTGGCTTTTTTCCAACTAACAAAAACTTTATGGGAAAAAGGAATAACTGATGAAGAAAAGCTTAAACGAAAGCTTGAAACCTATGGAATTTTCGTCGATAGTAAGTAACGTTATTGGTATGTTCGTGTTCATCAACCTTTACTAAACTTTTTCTTCTTTTTTTTTTCTTTTTTTTTCAGGAAGAGATTTTTATTTTTTATGCAATGATTTATTATGATGGGGCTTATCTTGTTGACGAAATTGTTTCGTTTACAATTCCAGACACGCCAACGCAATTATGTTTACTAAAAGATATTGTAACTGGTTTATTGTCGTTCAGGGTAAGTTATTGTCTGTAAATTGCAAATTATACATCTTAACTTCCTAACTATGATTCCTTATGAACAGGCTCGTGTTGAACACACATACACTCAGATAACTAATTTGTTAAAAAGCGCAACGTCTCGACGTCGTCCAAGACGAATGAAAACTGATATAGATGTTTCCCCGGGTATTTCGAAAACTCAAAAAAAAAAATAGTATTACTTGTAATTGAAAATATATTGGTCGTTTTTTCAACAACCGAAATCTTTTCAAAAGAATTGGAACCCATTTTCATAAGTTGAAAATTTTAAAAGGTTGGGAGTTCGAAATTGTTAAAACTGATACATAAATATAATAGGTTTTTTATGTATTGACATCCGTTATAGTTTGTGAAAGGCATTATCCAATGTATATATATATATACACTGTAATAAAATTTACATATAAGCTATAGTATATTGACAAATATGTTTTCGAAACATTCAGCATATTATATGAGTACTTTATTGACTACGTTAATTCGATATGTGGCATAGTACAGGGACGATGATTTCCCGTGATTCACAGAACACCGCAGAATTTTCCTTACTACAACATTCATTTTAATCACCGCATAATGCCACAGAATTTAAAATTCTAAAATTTTCATTATAGAAATCACAGAATCACGTGATTTTCACAAAATCAAATTTGATTTATTTTACAGATATGGCAACACGTAAAAAAAGTGTTCATAAATACTCGTATTAATGAATATCCTGGTGTTTTTAGAGAGGATGGAGGTATTATGTTTTGCAATTTTTGTGACTTTTCAGTTGAATAGAAGTCAAAATCTATCGTGAATGAACATTGTCTTTCAAAAGGACATATTAAAAAAAAAACAAAGTTATAAAAGTAATGAACAAAAAAAAAACAAGCTACTATTTCTACAATTAACAATACACTTGAATCCAAAAGGAAAGTCATAGATGATTTAATTGAAGCCTTTTTCTTTGCAAATATCCCTTTAGAAAAAGTAAATCAACTTTTTCTTTTTTTAAAAAACACCTTAGAGAAGGAGGTGCAATTCCTCAGCTCCTACCTTTCATCAAATATATTTACCTAATGTTTTTGATAAATATTTTTTTTTATTTCAAAATTACTTTAATCAAAAACCTGTAGCAATAATAATGGATGAAATCACAGATGATTACTCAAGAAGTGTTGTAAACACCTTTTTTTCCTTTCATCAAAATACAAAACTTGTATCAGTTGACTTTTTAGATCGTGTCAATAATTCAACAATAGGAGGAACACTTTTAACCATTTTAACTAATTATAATATTCCCTATTCCTTATCAAGATTATTTCTTTCAGATTCTGCAGCATATATGAAAAAATGCTATAGAGAAGTTTTAAAACCAATAATGTTATAATTAATTCATATGTCATGTTTAGCTCACATTATAAATCTCATTGGGTAAATATAAATAAATTTATTAAGTTTTGAAATTATTTAAAATTTTATTTAATATTTATAATAATTTTTATTAATATATATATTTTTTTTTAATAGTGATACTTGAAGAATTTATTCAGATTTTAGTCTTTTAAAGTTATTATTATTAAAAATTAAGGAGACATTAAATGCATTAGCATGAAGAAGGCGTTACTTAACTCTTCTTAAAATACATGGAATTGAAAATCCTTATAAAATTTCATTACCAAACAAAACACATTAAAATTCATGGTTTAATATGATATTTTATGCTAAAGATCATATTGATTATTGGCCTTCTTTTTATCAAAAGAATATGAAAGAGATATAAAGCATTTATCAATTTCTGTAATTAATGAAATCTTATAAGATGAACAAAAAATAGTTATAATCTATATAAATTTTATAACATGTTATGCATAACAATTTGTTCAGGATTTGGATTTTTTCTAGCAACAAAATAAGCCGATTTTTTCATTTATTGAAGGTCACCTTAAATAACTTACATCTTATTTGGAAGAAAATCTTGTAATACAAGATTTTGGATCTGATTTATACTTTCTTATCAAACAATTTAACTTTAACCCGAAGGACATTTATAATATTTTTTGATCAGCATTTATTGTTGCATATAATAAATTCTCAATGCATATTCCGCAACATCCTACACAAGCTTTATTTTGTGTTACTTGTATTTTTGATCCATTGTATATTAAAATGGAAATTTTATTTAAAGATATTCGTCAATATTCAGTAATTATAGAACTTTCTAATCTATCAAATAAACTATTGAAAGAATGATCAATTTATTATGGATTAACGAATGAATTAATTGAAGAATATGTTGATCTTAATGTTTTTTGAATGGAAATGCAATTTAACTTACCAATTTTATCAAAAATTGTATTAGATTATATTTGGCTTCTGATCTCTAGTTGTAATGTTGAACGTATTTTTTAAAGATGATCCCATAATTATTTTCAAATTTTAATTAAGTTGCAACTTAATTGTACCATAAGGAAATTTAATTGCGCCACAAGTTGCAACTCAATTGCGCCATTTTTTTTAATTGCGGTAACCATCTTTAGTATTTTTTCTTTGTATAATAATCTTTTAAATAGTGATCATCAAAATCTTTCATACGAATCATTAAAAAGATTAAATATATTATATTTAATAAAAATAATTGATTTTAAAGTAAACTATATTATTTATTTATATTAAAATAAATCACATAAAATCACTAAATTGATTTAAATCATCACAGAATTAAAATAGAATGATCAAAATCAGTGTCACATGATATCACAGAATTTTACTTAATCACACGCAGAATTTGGTTTTTATCATCACAGAAAATTATCGTCCCTGATATAGTAGTCATGTGAGCATAAAAAAGATTACCTTTAATACTATTGATTTAAGTATTGGCTAGCCTTGAAAGAGTATTCGCATTACATGTTTATATGTTCTGATGTGTTTAATCCTGAGATATGAGATCTATTCCAATTTGGAACAGAGATCACTTTTATCAAAAAAATTTATTATTATATACGAAAATAAATACAAAGGTTCAGAACATAGTCCAGGATACATAACAAAGTTTTTATACTATTATACATGCTTATTTTTTCTTGATTATTTCTTTTACATGATGTTTTTTATTTGCGAGTTCTTCACTAGCTGATACCTATCTTTTAATAAACTTACTATAACCTTTAAAATCTTCTTCACATTCTTGCATAAGTCAGTAGAGTCCTTAAGTGCATCTTCAATCAGAAAGATGTGATACTCAGTCAATAGATAGCCTCAGTGCTATATAGAATGAAATACCAGTCTGTGGCTAAGAAATTATAAAACAAATTAGTGATACAAAAGAGCTAAGAAAGAAAAAAACAGATTCGCTAGAGCATTTTCTCATCCGTTGTGATAATATCATAGACATAGAGTTTAAATGAATCAAGTCGAATAGAGTTTAAGAATCAACTCTATTCAACTCATTTTTTTTGAGTTGAGTCAAATCAAATTTATTTTATAAAATTTTTCAACTCAACTTGATTTGAGTTGTATAAAATTTAAACTTGACTCAATTTGACTCGACTCGAGTTTAACTCAACTTGATTTTGACTTAAATTTATTTGAGTTAAGTCAAATTCAAATTAAGTTTTAAATCAAATTTAAATTAACTTATAAATATTTAAATATAAAAAATTTATTTTAAATTATATGATATTATAAGTTTTATATA